ATATAAATTATATTAATATAATTTATAATATGGTTATGATATGACTATTTTAGGGATACTTTCAATATTTTACACATAATTATCAATAAGGTATTTGTGAGACACACTTCAAGTACTTATTCAAGTATAAAACAAAAGCCCTTAAAGTTATAACCAGAGTCTCCTTGAGGGAGAGCGTGACACTTGTATATAGATCTCTATGGGATTGACAATCCCACATCTCGATTGTTAGCTACAGTCAAGCCGGCAGGCTTGGGATGACAATTATCGTACCGTATTAGAATGCCTGAAGAACGTTGTGTTTCAGGCGAGGCTTAGGTCATCAAGTATGGTTATGACAACTCACAACTTTTAAATTGATAAATAAGTTTGGTGTAAGAATAGTAACAACTTCACATAGTTTTAATATATTAAAACTATAATACTATTTCCCAAGTTTTATTACAAGTATAGGTATAGAATTCTATACAATTTCTGAGTTAATTTATTTTTCAAAGTCTTATGGAAGGTTAAGACTATACTAATTCTGAAAACAAATGTATATACAACAGAAAATATAGGATTTTCTGGAAGAACAAATACATATTTCATAGAACAAACAACAAGTTATTTATATAACATACTTATGAACTCACCAACTTAATTGTTGACACTCCTATCAAAACTACTTGTATTTTCAGGAAAACAGTAAACAAGTACCAACACGTTTAAAGGAAGACGAAGCTTCTTTATATTTATATTTGTAAATTATACTTTTTGAAACACAGTTTTAAACTTAAAATCTTATGTAATAAATGTTGTACTTTGGTTTCTATTATGCATTGTTATGATACTGCAAATGAAGTCCTCCACCCCTAAATATTTTCATCGTTCAGTTTTGGGGTGTGACAGATTGGTATCAGAGCATTGTTTATAGCAAACTAAGTATATCAACTTATAAAAGATATATAACTATAAATACATTAGGGGCTGAAAGCTCTGACTACAAGTATAGTTTTCAAAAATTTGAATATTTTTAAAAGAAGTATACTAATACTAATATCTATAAATATAGTATTACAGAACTTAAAAGTATTTGAATGTTAAATATTATAGTCAACCTAAGCAAATTATGTAATCATGTCTAGGATTAATATAGCCTGATCAACTATATTTATTCAAGATATGACCAACATATGTTTTAGGGTGATTATAGTATTGTGACATATCTAAAACTTACCAACTATACATGTTCAAAATATTTTAGATCTAAACATAAAGATTGAAATACTATAGGAGTATTTTGGAATACTATAAAACAATACATCTAAATATATAATATATTTTCGCACCTTTACATCTCGTTCAGATAACATGGCTGGAAATTACCCAAGGGACCCCTACATCCCTGATCACGCCAATGGAAGTGATTCAGAGGAGGAACCTATGGAAGCCACTGATAGTGAATCAAGTGGTACTGATACAAATCCCCAAGTTATTAATCCGGGACAACGCCATTTAAGATAAGATAATGCTCGACCTATACTAGACTGGGGTCAGCATATAAACCATTGGTGCAGACAGGAAGGTATACGCCCTCCTTATGGAATGGCCAGAGAATATTACAACCTCACTGATGGAGGCACATCTGATGAAGCCCTTCCAGCTGATGGAGGCACAACTGATAAAGCCCTTCCAATTATCACTGATGGAGGCACAGTTGATAAATCGGATTCTTGAAGTAAATGCCACCGCAGAAGTCAATATTGTGGATATTTTACGACTTGATGAGATGCAAGAAGACACTGATCAACACACTATAGCCCTTCAAAGACAAGTTGATGTTGCTCAAGTAGAAATAAGACAATTGAGAGAGTATCAAGCAGCGCAAGAAAAGCGCTGGAGGTCACAAGATGAAGCATGGCCTAGTAACCAACGTAACCCACGCTGCAAATAGTGTTTTCACTACTAAGTTTTACTTTAATTAAGTTTTTAAATATGTATGTAAAATAGTTTGTAACAAGTCAAATTTTATGTATGATATAAATAAATAAAGTGACAAATATTTCATACTACCATCTTGTTCTCAGAATCTATTTACATCAGTATTTTATAAATTAAAATGAAATTGAATAACTTATTATCCTTTATTTTATTATAGTTAAAAGATGCCTCGACATAATCCACCACCACCACCAGCTCAATTCGATGCTGCAACATTTCAAACAGCAGTAGCAGCAGCTGTAGCAGCAGTTATAACACAATTAAATACAAATGTTGGTAACAATCCTCCTAATCCTGGAAATAAAATTGGGAAAATAAGAGAATCTAGTTATAAATATTTTACTAATGCAAAACCAAAGTCCTTTGATGGCACGGGAGGTTTCATTTTTTTGTAGCGTTGGTTCGAGAAGACAGAACCAGTATTTGAAATATGTGCTTGTCCTGAAGCCAATAAAGTGAAGTACGTTGCATGTACCTTTGCGGATAGAGCCCTTTCATGGTGGAATGGCTACGTCAAATCTTTATCTCTTCCAGTGTAAAACGCTATGAGTTGGAATAATTAAAAGTGAAAATGTTAGCCGAGTATTGTCCGAGAGGCGAATTACAGAAATTGGAACAAGAATTATGGAATCTAAATATGAAGGACTCTGACATCATCAGTTACATTGCTAGATTTAGTGATTTAGCCCTTTTGTGTTTGGGGATGGTTACTCCGGAAAGCAAGAAAGTTGAGAGATACATTTGGGGATTAACTTCCCTAACTCAAGGAAATGTTTTAGTCGCAAAACCTCTCACTTTCGACAGTGCCAAACATCTGGCACAAACTCTCATTGATCATGGAAAATGTGAAGTAACAAACCCCGAACCATCTAAAGATGGAGACAACAAGAAGAGTTTTTCGAATAAAAGAAAAGGGCAATCAGATGAGGATTAGGGAAGAGGATATACTGAAGACATCTTTTAGAACTCGGTATGGGCATTATGAATTTGTGATGATGCCATTCGGACTCACTAATGCTCCGGCAGCATTCATGGATCATGAATAGGGTATGCAGACCGATGTTGGGTCGGTTAGTGATCTTTTTTATCGATGATATCCTGCTTTACTCCAAAACCAGAGCGCAGCACGAACAACATTTTAGGGAGGTACTAGAGACTTTGAGGGAGGAGAAACTTTCTGCAAAGTTCTTCAAATGTGATTTTTGGCTACAGGAAGTGCATTTTTTGGGGCACATCATCAATCAAAAAGTTATTTTGGTTGATCCAGCAAAGGTGGAGGCAGTGATGCGATGGGGGGTATCGAGAAACGCCTTCGAGATTCGTAGCTTTTTGGGTTTAGCGGGTTACTATCGGAGATTCATCCAGGATTTCTCCAAGATTGCTATGCCATTGACCCGTTTAACCAAGTAGAATGTGACATTTCGGTGGGATGAAGGTCAGCAGAAGGCTTTTGAGACTCTTAGGCAGAGATTATGCCAGGATCCAGTCCTCGTACTGCCTGAAGGGTAGGATGATTTCGTGGTATATTATGATGCATCGATTTCAGGATTGGGTGCAGTATTGATGTAGGGAGGGATTTCAGGATTGGGTGCAGTATTGATGTAGGGAGGGCATGTGATAGCATATGCCTCGAGTCAGTTAAAGCCTCACGATGCAAATTACCCCACACCTGATCTGGAACTGTAGGTAGTGATGGTCGCCCTCAAGATTTGGAGGCACTATCTATATGGGGTGCAGTTTACCATCTATACCGATCACAAGAGCCTAAAGTATTTGATGGATCAGCAGAACCTTAATATGCGAAAGAGGAGATGGTTGGATGTACTTAAAGAATATTATTATGAAATCCTGTATCGGGTAGGGAAGGCCAACATGGTGGCTAATGCCTTGTGTCACAAAGCGGCAGGGTCCCCGGTTAGGGACATTTGTATGAGGATAGCGATGATGTCATCTTTGTTGGATATGATCAGAGGGGCTCAGGTTGATGGGGGAAATAAGGAAAACTGCAAATCATAGAAAATACGGGGTTAGTATCCATTGTTTGTTAAGGATAGCTGCTACCTTTTGACTTAATGTGGACTAGTGTGAGTACCTTTGGCGGGGGGGGTGAAGCAAAGGCTATTGGGGGAGGCTCATAAGTCTATGTTCTTTATTGTAAACTCCAAAATCGGATCTACCAATGATCAAAAGCAAATAAAAACCACACAATATGAAATAATAAGCAAAGAAATAACAAACCAAGCTTGCATACGCTTTATAGCCTTAAAACGTTAGATACAACTTGGTGGAACTGGAAAATACGAAAGGCATCAACAACCTAAAACATCTGACACAAATCTCTATATATAGACCTTAGGACCGTGAGGAGTTTACGGCCGTAAGGAGTTTACAGCCGTAAACTCTATGACAACTGCAAATATACACAAAAATGTGTTTCATACACACACACCTATCACTGACTCTTATATCTAGACCAAACCATTACTCTAGGGCCCTTCAATCTCCCCCTTGCACTACTAGAAAAATAGCCTTTTACGACGCTCATTGTGTGTCGTAAAAGGCTCAGACGACGCGCAAATGTGTGTCAAGGAAGGCCCTGTCATAAAGAGAGACGACGCACTTTTGCGCGTCGTCTATAGACGACGCGCATTTACGACGCGCTTTTACGACACGCAATGCGTATCAAGAAAGGCCTTGTCATAAAGGAAGACGACACGCATTCGCATGTCGTAACCTTACGATGCGCGTGTTAATGACATGTATTGCGTATCAAGAAAGCCCCTGTCAAGAATGGTCATGTCATAAATGAAGATGACACACATTTTTACGTATCATAATTTTAAATGTTTTAAAAAAAATATTATTTATAGATTTACTTATTTTCAAATTAAATTTGTATTTAATGTTTCATAATAGAAAATAAAATATCATATACAAAAAATAGAATCCATTGCATAAATTTAATGTCATACAAATAATCGTTCAAACGACTAAGGGGATCCAATTGTACATTGTTATTAAGAAAATGGAAGTATATTGTTAAAGTTAGAAAATAAATGAGAGTACAATGCGCTACGTTTCGTTCCTCTCATATAGTCTCCGTCTTCAAGATTGCTATCCAATAAGCTTTTAGTATTCGCATGTAGAAATTCCATTGCAAACTGCACACCTAAGAGCTCACGTCCAGGAACAGGGAGGTCTCGTGGCTTTGTTGCCCCCATAGCTAAAATATCCGCATCATTCTCTTTGCGAAGGTGTTCAATTGAGTACACCGGATCGCTTCCTATTTCCAGGACAGAGGAACTGCAAAATAGACAAGAGGGTATTTGTGTCTTTTTGCAAGTTTCTTCATATAATGAAGAAACAATCTAATATTTTTATAAACTAAGTAAACTATTTTGAACCTCGTATTGTGGTGCTGCTGTGGGACTGCAATCAGACTTCAACAACTTCACCGACAAATTTGAAGAAATTAACTCTACAAAGACAACTAGTTGTCGTAAAACTGATCATGGAAAATGAAGTTGAAAGACTGAAGGACAAAAACCACATACACATCTTTTTCTTCAATTTGGAAACTCAAATTTCCCATAAACAAAAGTTTTGATCCGGTAGCTTGAGGAGTCGTGGGGGTTTGAGGATGCAATTTTACATTGTATTATTATAATAATGAAAAAATATAGATTACACATAAACAGGATATAAATGTGAAACATATAAAAGCACCTACAGCTTTCTTCCTCATCACCTTCTTCAAACGCTTCATCAGAGCTGCTATCTTTTTTGTAGCTTGATCCGACTATTAACCAAATTTATCAATTTAGTAAAACAAGCTAGATTAACCGACAACCAGTAGTTCAATAAATAACAAAAGAGTTCAATCCATTGACCTTTTTAGCAGCTTGAGGCTTTGCTGGCTCTTCATCAAAACTTTCATCTTCCTCATCAGATGCACTCTCTTATTTTTTTGCTATTGGTTTTGCAGCAACTTTTGTCTCAGTTGACTTACTCTTTCTCTTCTGAGGTTCCACATCATCGGATGAACTCTCTTCGTTAGATATTTCATCATCAGAATCAACCTTCTATACACATAAAAAGCAAGAAGAATCAACATCTTCGCACGACATATAAAACACGCAAGTATATAGACAAAACCATGCATTGAATACACACCTTGGTTGCAGCAGTAGCTGCTGCAGGTTTCTTATTAGGGGCAGTCTTAACCTCTTCTTCAGAATCGCTTTCTTCAGGGCTGCTGTCATCAGAACTTTCTGCTTTCTTTGCAGGAGTAGCAACAACTCCATTTTTTACAACAACAGGTTTTGTTTGTCAATCTATTATTGTTGCTCCCATGATCGGTTTCCATACCTCCACTCAGCAGCAAACTAATTGTTTCCAAGCCACTCAATAGATTGATTGTCTAAAGTCATCACATGTGGAGATTGTCTTGTCAAAATTTATAGGTCTCCTCAATCTGGAAGAGAGAAAGAAACCAACAGTGACTTAGGAGCTGCATAAACCAGTTTCAGTTTATTAAGGATGTCCGTTTGTATTTCTTGAAAGAGTCAATAAAGTATATCTTTGAGGACCTTGTTTTGTTGTACTGAAATAAATTCATAGTTAGACTCACTAGATCTTTTATCTCGTCATCTTCTACAGAGGAATCAACAACAACTCATTCATATTAAGAAAAAGAACCATTATACAGTTTATGATAAGAAAAACTTATACAGGACATTATACTCCTTATGATGTTACGCATCAGTACTTGGATCTCAACTAATTCACCTTTTTCCAAAATTTTGGATGTAACTATTCTTAATCACAAACCTATTATGCCTAAAAAATGAACTTATTTGAAGCTCTGACATTTATCATGAAAATATTACAGCAAAATTGAAGTTCATGTCTTCTATTTTTGAGTTTTGACGAGAGAGAGAGAGAGAGTAAGAGAGAGAGAGAGAGAGAGAGTCTCGTAATCCATTTTAAGTATCTGCAGAACTCAATATGGAACCCTAACCATCCATTTAACTAGTTGGTGTGGAAATCCATTCTTAGAGAAAAACCCTAGTGAACAAATATGGAGCTTAATAGACAGCTTGAAGAGTACCTGGTGCTGATTCTGGCAACAATATAAACAATAATAATATTATTAGATGTTTCTTTTACTATATTAGTCAAGTATTCGGTTCTTAGATTTGTCAACCGAAACAACAATTCGTGTTTGATTTGGAGAAGATGGAGATCGTTTCAGGTAGGACAGGACAATTTAACACGACCACATTTCCTCCAATTATATCCATCTTCAGATGAGGCACTGTTGGAATTATTACCAATATCTCCATTTATTCTTTGATCTGCATCATCTTCATGATGTTCTTGAGATCTTTCAGAATTGCCATTAAGAAATCCTGAGCGAATATGGAGTGAAGATGTTTCATTTTGTGTTGGTTCAATCTTTTGTGGAGGGAATTGTCTTTCAGATTGAACTAGAGTTTCATTATGTTGAAAAGATTGTGTAGACATGAAAGGTGGATTCACCTAAATGATCCAAAAGAAACAATCATTAATGTTTAAAAAAATATTCTGAGAAAATAACTTTTAAAGGTATGTTTACTCTGCTTACATGATCACGAGATACAGGAGCTGAATCTGGGAAAGGCTTAAAGGCAAAAGAAGTGTTATTAGTGTCCTCAAAGAAATTTTCTTTAACCCTATTAGAGGAATCCAAGAACATCATGGAGCTTCTACCATTACCATTTGGAACAAATTGGAACTTTCCAGTAGTTGGAGATGGTTGAACCTACAACAGAATGGATCATTTAGTATAGTAAATTACTAATATACCCCTAGTTTATCTAGTGAGCTTACCAATGAGTTGGAAAGGAAAACAGGTGATTCCAGAAAAGAAGTTGGGCTAACACTAGGTGAAAATAAATATGGAGATTGTTGAGTTTGTGAATTATCATAGGATTTTATAATCTCTGTATTCAACCTAGGAGCATTATGACTAGCTCTAGCTGCCATTCTTTCAACAAGAGGTGCCCTTGAGCTCGCTTTTTGATCACCAAACTCACTTGATTTTGTCGCATCGCCATTTTCAGACCCGATTTGGGGATTTGGTCCAGGGAAAGTGAACCCGGTGTCGTTATTGGTATCGTTTTCTGGAGGGTCGGGTACTGATCTTGAACCAGGATCATCCCCCAACATAGCTGCAAACAAAAACCTAGGGATAGGGCTCGGAGGCATCCAATCGCCAATTATCCCACCATGATCGTCAAAACCACCCATGAAAATCGAAAGCTTTCTTCCTTGATTATCTGTTCAGTGGTTTGTTAGTTTTTCAGACTTCAAAATTTCACACAATATCGAAACAGTGATGATGGTGTTTTATGTACGAAATCGTAGTGTTTTGGTCGTGTTTTTTTTGGAATCGTCAAGCTTTAAACAGTAATGATAGTGTTTTTATGTACGAATTAATCGATTGCACAATAACAACAAATAAATGTACAAATTTAGTTTCCGCTTTTGGTAAAACGATAAACCAAAAAAACATTTGGATCGTCTACCCGATTGAAGTGGGTAGACCACAATAATAGAAGATAATATAGTTTTTCTAAAATGGGAATCGAAAATCGATGATATTCAAACATTCGCTTTTCACATATTCTCGTGGATTACGCCCAATTTTGCAATCCCGAACCAAAAATCGATATCCGAAAATGATCTAGCTAAAGGGAATTCATTAAAACCAAAGATCTAAATGGGATTGCAAAATCCAACCAACTTCAAATCAAATCTATCATTTCTTTCACATGAACAATTAAGGGTATAAACTACAGAAAATAAAAATGGAAATGCAATTGAATAATCAATGGAAATGATTGAAAAAACATGATTAAGGGTTGTATACAAACCTGGAAAACAACACACAGACAGCCAAGGGTAAGCTAATAACAAAGGAGACCCTTTTATCTCCTCTGATTAGTTGATTCTCTGTGATTAACAGGCCACAACGCAGAGCACACGTCTCTAGGTCCTAAGAGCACACGTCTCTAGGTCCTAAAAGATACCTTTGGCGAATTAGATCTAACTGACAGACCATGGGAAGGCAAGAATTTAAAGATGTGGAGAACATCGGTCGGCTGAGCAAGTCGACGACTGTTGTTGAGAAGTTTCGAGATAAAGATACCTTAATCGTACTTAGGGCTTGCAAATTTGAGCAGTCGTTGTACTCTCCGGTGACGTGAGGTGAGCCTGAGGTCGCTGGTCAAAACAGATGAGCCGAGGTCGCCGGTGGAAAGAGATGACTTGAGGTCGCCGATAGGATGTGAGGTGAGGGAGCGAACATTACAGAGAGCACTCCTTGAAAAAGCCCTAGATAATGGTCCCTGCAATGGCGGGGTCTTCAACTTTTCTAATTTTTTTGAACACGAGGTTTTAGATTTGGTCGACGCCATTAATGAGGAGACCTCGCAAATCAATTACGATTCACCTTCGCTTTATCTTCTTGTTCTCCTCTTGATGATTTCAGACTCCGTCTCTACGACTTTACATGATATTTTTCAGAAAGGAGTCTTTGTGGAGCATCAGGGTTTTTCTTTATTTCATAACCCTCGCATGTACTGGGTTGAGAGAAAACGAGAGAAGCGGAAGCTTGGAAGAAAATAAAACCCTAGCACGTGCTAGAGAGAAGGGAGGCGGCGATGGCTTAGGGTTTACAGAGAGACGGGAGGTAGAGAATGAAAGGAGAACTAGAGGAGAGAGTATCAGAGAGGGGATAGTGGATTGCAAGGATGAAAGATAGATAGAAGAAAGAAAAAACGAGTCGGGTTTTCAAAATTTTGGAGATTCCGTTTCCCCCCTTGTCTACTAAAAGCGCGTTTCATTAAAATTATAAAGCGACAGGTACAGACGACGCGCGTTTAAGATAAAGAGCCCTCCTTGTTTTTGATTTTTTTTCTTGAGACACTAAATAAAGGGCACGCAATAAGGCGTGACGTAAATGCTTAAATTTTTTTGGAGAGATGACCCTATTTTAAGGGCACGTCCTTTTGCGTATCATTAATCAATGCGTGTCGTAAAAAGCGCGTCATTAAAGGTCATTTTTCTAGTAGTGTTGGTTTGGACTAGCTCAAGGTCACCCCTTGTTGATAATCATAACATCCATTTGTCCCATGGCCCCATTCCACATACGCTTGTTCAAAATTTCAGCCACCATTGTCGTGTACACTTTAGCATCTTCTTCATATACATCTTCAACAACCTTAATCTGAAAGTTGTTGAGATAGTGAGTATCCCACATCCTAAACTGTAACAAATCTCTGCGATCATAGAGCCTGATGTACCCATCTTTAAGCTTAATGACGGCACCAAAAGTAGTTTCATCAAAAACCTAGCAATCCAATGAACTGAGAGACCCGTCTGAAAAGCCTTGAAGCACCGGAAACTGGTTGACTTGTTTCGTTGCGGGCCACATCACTATCTGCAATGGCTTGTCAGTGGATGGTTCCAAAACATCTGAATGTTCAAATATGACAGATTCTGCAATGGGCATAGAAGGAAACCCCTTTTTAACTTGATCATCAAGGAAGTGCTTGAATTGAGTAACTTGTGGATTATTCATTAAATTGATGAAGGGAGCTTGAGACAGCTCTGCGAAATCAATCCTCGTGAACGAGCTAAAATCATGGCTATTCTTGTACAACTCAGAATTACCGCTCTTGTGAATGACTATCCACATCTTAATGGGTTCATGGAATCCCCAAGAAGCAACTCCCGATCTGTCTCCAAACGTATCTCAGAACCGAACCACTTCAAGATCAGTAATTGTGCTTAACGGTTCGCCCCGAGAAGCATTTAGATTAGTGTTCCACTTGAACAGCAGCTGACCTTTCTTCACTTCTTCTTCTTGACCATGACGAATGATTTATGTAATATGTGGAGCCAAAGGAGGTTCATCAACCCTACGATTAACAGTACCAGAAGAATGACCGACTGGTACGTCAACTGGGAAAGCTTGCACGTGAAGATTGATCCTCTGTTCTTCAACAGACGTCTGATATTTGTCTCCAAGGTCTACTTCAAGTTTCTTCTTCGGTTCAAAGTAGCTTGAAGTTAGTAGATTGAAATGATCTTGCAAGTCGGAAATCTGATTAGTCTTCAACTTTTTATCCTTTTTGAGCTCGGCCACTTGTACTCCAAGATTAGATTTATCTGATTTCAACTTACAGACTTGAATCCTCAGGTTGACATTCTCATCACGAAGTTCCGCTACCTGAATATCTAACTCGATATTCTTCTGGCTTAGAACTGAAATCTCCTTTTGCAAACCAGAAAGAGTGAGATTGTCATACCTAGCACCACCTTCTTCAATGGCAACACCTTTTCCTCGAGGGTCTGGGGATAGAAGTTGTTCTTCAGCCATGTGCAACGCCAACCTTTTAGAAGCAGCATCTCGATTATATCTTGGAACTGAGAAACCAGTCGGCGCAGAGGGACCACCAACAGTAAATGTTGAACTCGGACCTGTTGGAAACATCTTGGTGGTTGTGAGTCTAGTGGTAGCAGTAGTCACTAGAGCGGTAGGAAGACCGCTAATCAAGCTTGCAATTAGGTTAGATTGCCTCACGTCCAGTCTTTGTCTCTTAGACTGAGGTTGGTTAGAATCAGGGGTAAATACACTCATAAATGGTTCTGTAGTAGGAAAAGCGGGTATTGAAGGGAAACATCCTATAACTGCCTCCATAGGAATTGGAGCGGACACCATTTGTTTTGATGTTGGAGTTTGAGTTTCAAATATTTCACTTGACTTCCTTGTCTCGGTTGTTCGCAGAACAACGTCATCGATATTGTTGAAAATCGTGTCAAGGTTTTCATGCGACAAAACAGTTTCACTGCTGGCTAAGGAGGCCGCAATGTCATCACGATCGAAACCTGTTAAATCAAGATCACTGAATGAACCGTTTCTTTCTTCACCGACATGCATTTCCGCATCATCTAGATCATGGCTCAACTCCTTTTCAAGTTTGAGGTGATTTGAGCGTCAGGAGTTGGTGTGTTATCCTTTTCAGTTCCTTCATCCTCTGATATATCAATAACAACATTATTAGGAGTCGATTTTTCTGCAGATGCCTGCTCTGATGAGGTTTGTTCAGACGAATCGTATGACTCCATCGGTTCATCCAACTATGTAAACTTTCCAAACTTATCTAGAGGATACAGTCCTTGAAAGATAACCTTGCCCTTTACGATTTTGTTTGATTAGACCCACAGTGTGTGGACCCAAGGACTTCATATCGAGAGTCTCTCCTTCCTTTCTCGCATCTGGAAACTGAATGTTGATAAATAGCTGGATAAAGCGAGGATACAACAAAAAAGTATCTCGGGTAGAGGCTCTAATGTTAATGACAAATTCATCCAAGATGAACTTTGAGAAGTTGAATCTTACGCCAGCAGAAAGAGATACCAGTGCACCAGTTGTGCGCTATGAAATCTCATCGGCTCCAGACCTTCTGCACGAAATGCAAATAACAAAAACGTGCGCTAAGAACCTCCAGTATGGATGCAGTAACTTCTTCAGTGTTGGCGGAAAAGTTCCCTCATAGCTCATTCTGCGTAGAATTCGTTGAGCGTCTTCAATTCCGATTTTCGTTGGGAAATTGGGTTGATCATCATTGAGCAGCGCCTCGCAAATGGATCCTTCATCAATCACAATCTCGCGTCCCTGAACTTTGGCTTTCACAGTAAACTTGCCGTCATCATCCATGTTCGCTTTAGCGGTCGCCCAAAACTCGCGAATCAAACTTTTATACACAAGTTGATTGACCGTGATCACGTTTGGTAAACAACATTCCCGCAACCGATGTATCATCGAGCGCATATCGGAGTGAATTGTCAGAGGATCTGCAAGTACGATTGCAAGGTTGTGCATGTCTGCAAATTTCAAATTCGTCATTTTCTGTACTCAAACACGAACTGTAAGAAAAAAAAATTATTTTGACCAACAAAAATTTTAAATAAAAAATATGATCAAAACAAATTTATTATAAATAAAATTGAGTTGTGGAAACAAGTTTACGGCCAAAGTAAACAATAAAATTCGAATTTTAAATCTTGAACAATTTCCGGCAGTAAGCTTTTTTGTTCTTGGGCTGTAAACTCGAAGTTTACGGCCTAAGAATCTTTTTGCAAACTCATAGCATCGAAATCGTATATGTAATTCAATCATTCTCAAAGGCAGTAAACGAAATTGTTCTTGGGCCGTAAACACTGAGTTTACGGCCGATGAA